AAGAACCTGAATCAGAATTGAACCTTATGCAAGATAATTGACTTCTTGGAGGAGAGAGAGATTAAAGAAAAAAAATTATTATAAAGGAACATTATCAAAATTCTCATTAGGTTAGCTCTTTTCCTACACGTTTACATCTGACAGTTTCCTTCTTAAAACTCGACATTTACTATTCTGAGATTTTTCCGTCTTCATAAACTTTTCACATGACACTGTATAAACCCATTAATTCAGTCAAATTATGCGTGAAAATTTACAGATTGCCTGTGCTATCAGTGTGTAATTTTTTCCTATCTCTACACAAGTAATTTGGATGGCTGGATTCATTTATTATAGGAATAACACACCTGATAGGACATGGAAATTAGATTCCCCTGATCTGCGGAAATATGCATACCACTGCATTTCTTATGAATTAATTAAATATTGTGAATGTCCACAGGGCGATATAATATAATACATAATTCAACTAACATTAAGTCCCCTAGAAGTATCAAAAAGGGTGAGGGGCAAATTCTGGATTCTCCCTTGCACCTGACCTAGTGCTTTCTGCAATACCTGTAATATTGCATTAATTAGTCTGTAAATTAATTGGCATTTGCACTCCATGACATGACCAGAGTCCCTGTATAATGGTCTGATCTATTTTGGTGCTCATTCTTTGTGACACTGGTGTATAATCCTGACTCATTTCCCCCCTCCACTTTTATCATGTGTGGTGCCTTTGTCTTCTGTGGTTTTGGTCTATCTTGTGGTAGCCCCTTGCAGCATTTCTAGGTATTGGTGCAGTATAAGGTGTAAACTGAAGGATAAGTCAATCTGGTTACCTTAGAAGCTTTGATGTTCAGTTATTCATAAGGTGTGTAAGTTTTGGTCATTAATAAGTTGTTCATGTTCAGTAATTTGTACTAAGTAGGTGTTTATTTTTTGCAATTTGTAAGGTGTTCATGTTCAGCTATTGTAAGCTAGCTGTTCATGTTCATTTTATATAAATTTCTAAGATGTTCATGTATGGATATTTGTAAGATGTTATTTGTAAGGTTTCATTACCACCTGGTAGATGTTCATGCTGGAAGAAATGTCGATGAGTTCACAAAGATTTCAAATATTTAAAAAATTATTTAGAAAAGGAGGTTCATCGTTCATGCAGAGTTGAAATTTTGCTAGGAAATTTTCATTGCTTCCTAAAAAGAAGTCTGAGGAAGATGAGATTTCATTTCTGATTCACCACAAGTCATAGACAGCAATTTTAGTTAAAGAGTACATAAAAAAGGCTAAATCTTCATGGTGCATGCATTGAATTAAAAAAAAATGCTGATTTGAAATGTTCCATTGAATAATTATGCAGGTGGTAAGGAATGGGCTACAACTTTTGATTCTTCCATTGAATGATGAACATGCACATTTTCACTGAGTTTTAGAAGGCTTTGACCCCATCCCCCACCCCCACCCTTCTTAGAATCGAGAATGCATTAACCTTTGATATACTTTCAGGGTTGTCCCTGAGACCTGGGGCCAGGAATTTCCCCGCCTAAAATGATGTAATACCCTGGTTATTCTGGTATTCCTCCTATACTCCTCATTAGGGAAGGAACCCCAGATCCCCTTTTACTTTTTAAGTGCCCCCTTCTATTTCAGTTCTTAGGGACAACCCTGTTACTTTGGGCATTTGTCTGGTACTTTACATGGAACTCTTTTTTAGAAAAAAGAACATTTTGTCTGTGCAATGTTGACAGAAAGTTTTAGATTTTAAGCCCTTTCTTAAGCTACCTGAATGCAGTAATTAAATTCGAATATGAACACTACTTTATGTCTTTTATAACAGGTATAATGTCTTCTAAACAAAAATAATCTTCTTTAAGGTACAATATACAACACAAAAAAAACTATATCTGTAGATCTAAATGCATTTAAATGGTTAAGGAGAATTGTAAGAAAGTATAGTGTGTGAGAAAAAAAAACAGTCTTTGTGGCTTACAAGTCCTGCAAGTATTATTTTACATAGAGTTGTTAGCGGCTGTGTCTGTTCTTTTGCTGAAAGGTATTGAAATGGAACGCTCAAAGTGAAAATTGAGCCTAATTTTTGTTGTGATATTTTTGAGGATAAATGCCTTTAAGGTGATTTTTTTTTCATAGTTTTTTGTGTATGAATCATCTTGATTTCTGAAATTATTCATATTGCAATATTTTTTAAAGAGGGTGACTCAAATTTTGGGGGAAGGGTCATGGAGATTTAAAATTGATAGAGAAAAAAGTAATTTTTCAATCTGCGTATACATGTGGCTTGCAGTATATGTGCATATAATGACCAATTATAATGACTATGTTTTGCTGTATTTTCTGATGATAAGCAGAGGAAAATTGTGTAAGAGAGCTGGAAAAAGGCCGAGAAGGACCAGTCTTATTTTTTACTCTCTGCCCACTTTGGGTGTTGTATTATTCTATACATTACCAGACAGGTACTGTTGAAAATCCCAGTATAGTCAAAAGACATAATTGTTTTATGTAACAGCATAAGGCACTTTATTAGGGCCCCGCTCTGCAGGTGCCCTATAGTGATCAGTCTAGCTGTCCCTCCATCCATGTCAGAAGCATATCTTCTCTCTCCTTGGCTCACTTTGGTTTAAACTTCACCCACAGAGTGTAGGTAAGGGGTTTGCAGTGACCTTAAACCAGTTTTTTAGATGAAATGTCAAGGTCATAAAACCTCTCTGTAAAGTACTTGCCTGGAGCATATTTTCTTTCTTCTTTGCCTAGTTGGGTTTATACTTCATCCATAGAGTGCCTCTGAGTAGAGGGTGTGTGGTGATTGATAATTTCCTAAATAAAAGTTCAAGGTTAAAAAAAAAAAAACCTTTGCATAAAATCCTTCTCAAGAGCATATTTTCTCTCCCTTTGGTACAGTTAAGCTCATCTTTCAGACATATAGTACCTGTAGGTAGAGGATGTGCAGGGACCTTGAACCAATTTTTTAGTTGAAAGGTCAAGGTCAGAAAACGTCCTTGTCTGGAGCACATTTTCCCACTTGGACCTATCTGGCTCAAGCTTCACCCATAGAGTGCCAGTGGGTAAAGGGCGTGCAGTAACCTTTAGACAACTTTGCTTAAAGTGGGGCCCTTTGAGATGGCCACCATCTCAACTATGTCTAGTTATTGATATAGTCTGTTCTAATGAATTCAGTCATTAAGGGAATGAGTGACTGCAGTAGCTTAAAGAGTGTCCACAGAAGCATCATCAGCATAAGAAAATAAAGAATGATAAACTTTGCCAGGATTGCATGGAGACATTATTGGGTCCCAGTGAAAGAAATGGAGTTGGGTTTGATCTGTACAAATAGTACAGATCAAACTTAACACTTTGTCAGTGTAAACCAGAGAATAAATATGGAAAGGAGAGACTCCTGGGGAACAGCAGGGGGTTGGGATGGGGAGGAGGAGGAGGTAAAATCTATAGCCACAGGGTACATTGGAAAAAGAGACTCCTGGCTGCAGGGGAGGGGGCAGGGGGAATCTCGTTGTGACAGCCGAAATAAAAGGGCAGGATCTAAAGAGGCATGCAGTCAAAACAAGAACTGATGAAGGGGTATCATGAGAAAAGGATTAAGGATGAATGACCCATTTGCCAAGAGAGATAACTCAATAATTGAAAACACCCTGCATTTCATTTATTTTTTTTTTTCATTTTCAGCAATAATTTGGGTTGAATTTTGCCCTGTAATGTATTTCAATTCTATTTAAGTAAACAGATGGGCAGAGGGTTATTCTGCTTAACAAGCAAGGATATGAGAGTTTATTCTGCAGGTCAAGTTTCTGACCTTATACTGCAATAATCAATGTAACCTCATTTTTTTTACGAAATGTTTTTGAGAGCCTCCTCCTCCTCCCCCCCCCCCCCTCTTCAAAAATGGGAGGGCTTCAGTATTCCAGTTAAGTGATTCTGAGTCTCATTTGCTCAGAATAGAGTCTCTGACTTATTTGGCAGATTTGGGACAAACACTGACCTTTTTGGAATTGATAACTGGGGCACAGAGGCAGTGTAATAAAATTTCTTGTTCATTTGCCTCACTGATTTAATGAGTTATGCACAGTCTGAAAGATTCCTTAGATAATTTCCAAATTATGTTAATTACCCTATTACCCTGTGTTAATCTTAATTGGAATGCACCAAGTACGTTTGACACTGCACGTTTTAGTGCCCTGATCTTTTCTTTATACCACTTTCAATTGCCAACTCTGATTTTAAGATAAATGGTACTTCATGTTTCCTTTAATTTACAGAAAAATTAGTGTTGATGACATTTGACATGTGACATTCATTTAAATACTAAATGGCTCAGGGTTTTAAATGAGTTTTGTTAAAGTTCTTGAAATTCAATTAAAATAAAGTCAAAACTGTTCCCAGCAAATTGAAAATTTCTTTTATTTCATTACCGTCACCATTTCCTTATTTAAGTTTCATAATCTTAAATAAAAAAGCAAATAATGACACATAACCCCCCCCCCCCCCCCCCCCCCCCCCAAATTGGAGGTTAAAAAAAATGTTTGTTGTCTTTGAGAAAAAAAAAAAGAAATGCTTATTACAATTAGGTAAATAATAGAAAATAATAATTAAAATAAATTAAAAATTGGGAATATTAAGTTCAGAAGACACGTTCCTTGAATATCTGTTTTGTATCTCTTCGGAATTTATAAAAAGTTATGAAAAATTATCATCATCTTGTGATTTCTAAATTGTTATCCAAATGACTTAAAAAAGAAATACTCCAAAAATTATGATGTTGGCAATTCAAATGATTTCCAGTAGGATTATATAGGAAACACCACCCTCTGGTATCTTGCACAAATGCCTGGTAAGGTACCTCAATTTTTTGTGAGTAAACTTGTTAAAGCAGCAGTACTTTAATGACAAATTCTTGGGGAAAGTTATGTACTATTGAGTAATGTGTCATCTTTAATATGGTATACACTGTTAATATAATAAGTTATGAAATTTACTTTTAGGCAATCTTTCCCCTGATGGAGAGAAAAAGCCGACACAAGCCTTACAACTCAGTCTTGAACTCGCGCTCAATGAGCGAGATCTTATGCTGAGGGAAAACGCCAAGGCTCTCGAGGAACGAGATCAAGCAATCAGGCAGCTCGAGCAACTCAGGAGCGAGCGTAACTCAGCGTTAACGAGTCTAGAAAACATAACAGGAAAACCGTCCAAGAATACAAACTCGTAAGTCATAAGAAAAAGAAAATCTTAACTCAATGTTAATAGAAAAAAGGAAAAACATCCAAAAATATAATCTTGCAAGTGATAAAAAAAAAAATGAATAACAAAATTTTCAAAATTTGTTAAGATGTTCGTGAGGCATAGTGGGTAATCAACTATCATCCTTTTTAAGTGTTAAGTGCGTTTATAGTTATATAAAATTTGGAGTGAAAGGAAAATGGCATTTTGCAAAATATATGAAATGAATATTGAATAACATTCAATTAATGCATAGTTCAAATTACTAGACATGTCATTATTTATTTCAAAGTAAAAAATCCATTTACTACTTTATTAAAGTGCATGATCTTGAAGTTGCTTTTGAGGAAAAAATAAAAACCCAGTCATATATAACCTTTCAATAAAAGATTTCAGTTTTGAATGAATTCAACTTGCAACTTTTCATATACAGTTAATTGAGTAAGTATATACATATATAATATAAATTAAATAAGTAAGTTATAGCTAATACACTTATAATGAAATCTCTCTTACAGTGAAGTGATTTTCATTTTTATAATATTTTAAAGTTATTGTATATACTGAACATGACTTTATATCCAATCAAATTGTGTTGTCCCTGGCACTAAGCTATAAGCATGCTTTACAGTATTCATTAAGTTTGTGGAATTTCCTATCTTGTTTGAACTCCTGAGAAGTCATTGTTTGTATCTTAGTCTAAAATGATGACAAATTTTATTTGCTTCTCACAGAAAGTCAGCTGAACTTAGTCCTGCAACACTCAGAAAAAGTCAGAGACTTCTAGAGAAATTCAGAGACATGGAACCTGACACAGACCACGAAGATGTAAGTCCTACTTTATAGCCCCCCCCCCCCCCCCCCCCCCAAAAAAAAGTGACGTTTATATCTCTTCTGGTCTAAGAAATTGTCTTAGACAGTAAAATTACCTCTCCAACCCTGTTTTATCAGGAATTTAAAAAAAAAAAAACATTCATAAACAGAGACATTCCAGAAGTTGAACAGATCAGGAGACTTCTTAGAGTTGTCACCCTTATGCTAAGAGCTATCCATTAGTGAGTTAACCATTTGAAATATAGCCAATGTTTTAATTCATTATTGAAGGGCTTTGTGAAAAAACCTCAAAAAGTGAAGGTAAGCTTGTTAATTTGCATGATGTGACTTTTAACCCCCAAACCTGTCTTTGGTGTCATGAAGTTCAAATTTCATATTTTTTTTTCATGATTTTTGGCTTTATTACTAAAATGTAAAATAATTACTGATATATCAGCACATGCGGTGATAATTGATAGTCTTAAAATATTTAATACTGGTTTTGTTTTATGTAACTTTTTTGAGGTTTTAGGGTGGGATGAGGATTAAAAGAAATAGGACATGTGAAAAAAAAATTTTTTAGTCATTTTATGAATTTCATGATGTCATTGAGTATTGTATCCTGTTGTAAATAATTTGATGTACTTGTAACCTTAGTAACCTTTATCTATATGTTATTGGTCTGGATTGTCCCAATACTCCGCAGCTCTTCTAATTTATATTTTCTTCTCGCATGGAAATTATGTATTTTCTTTAATCCAATTAAATAAATTGAAGTAATAAAGCATTAAAAACCTGTGCTGGACTTTAAAAACTGTGCATGGTTGGCTTTGATTAATGATATTTATTTTTTGCATGCAGTATATAAATGGTGGGATGAATGGGGAAAATGGGAGGAAGAAAAAAGGGAGGAGTTGGAAGGAGGGTAAAGGGGGTGGGAAGAAGTGATGTAGGAAAGGGAGGAATAAGTAGAAAGAGAGGGAGGAAAAAGAAAGAGGACTAGAAAGGGAGGAGGAGGAAGAGAGGGAGGAGAGAAGAGGGGGTCAGGGAGGAAAGCAGGAAAAAGAGGATTAAGAAGGGAGGAAGGGAAGGAAAAAGAAAGAGGACCAGGAAGCAAGGAGGGCAAGAGGGGGAAGAGAGGGACAGGGAGGAAAAAGAATACTAGGAAGGGAGGAGGGGGAGGAAAAAGAAAGAGGACTAGGAATTGAGGAAGCGGAAAGAAGAGGGGTCAGGGAGGAAGAAGAAAGAGGGGTGGGTTAATTGGGAGGAGGGGATCCCTGTTCACCACCCTGACATTGATTTTATTGAATTTTGAATACCAGTTCATATACTAGAGTTAATCTGTTCATGAAGAATGTAAAAAACAAAATCCGTGCAGTAGTTATTATCCCTTTGCAATGAAGTTGGAGGGGCTATAGTAATGCGCTTGTGTGTTTGTGTTTGTGGGTGAGTGAGTGAGTGGATGCATAATGGAAGTTACACTAGTAATAATTAATGACGGGATCGATGTGCTCTTTTTCGAGGGGCACGATGCTCTACTTTGTTGTGCCCTTGTTTTGTCTATGGCATAAACTAATCGATGTTATAATGCAGAGTACATGAAATAATAGCAAAATGCAATTGCATTTTCAGATGAATTTCAAAACATTCACCACCTCAAGGTGAAGTCAAATTCTGAAGAGAAATTAAGAGAGTTTAAATAGGTATTTGATTTAAGTTTTCTGTAAAGGTAGGATTTCATGAGGCATTGCATTTCAAAAAAGACACATAATGATTCTTGTCTGTCTGCCTGTTAGAAGATGGTAATGATTAAACACTTCCTTCTGGTGACCACTATAAATATGATGTCAGAAATTAAAAAAAAAGGTTATACAATATTTCTGAAAAAAAAAATCTGTGTTCATTAAAAAAAAAAATCCTAGCCATACTCAGATTGAACAATATGAGACTTACTTAAAACATTTTTGGACATGATAATAATTAAGGACAAATTCTGATGTTTCAGCAGAAATTGTGGACAGCAATTAAGGGACCCATTATCAAGTTACGATAAATTTCTAATTCCAAGTCACACAAAATCTTGGGTGGGTTTGTGGTTTAGATGCTAATTGTGCTCTGTGTCTGGGCTGTATCAGTAAAACGTTGTCAGGACCCTGAAGTTCAGTGATAAAACTCTTCTAATTTGAAACTGTGTTATCAGCTTATTTAGCAGGGAAACAATTAAAATTACATGGCGGGACAGACTAATTTGAATTCATAATGAGAGGGGCACTGAAACAGGGAGTGAAGCTTAAAGTGTTGAATCTGCATTCGGAAAAAAAATATTTTAGCATATTTTCCAAAAAAAAAGTGCTATAAGCTTTAAACTTAAGTTTATGTTCTACAGTGATAGATAAATATATATACATCAATAAATAGGAGTAAAGAGTTGTTGATTGAAGAGAAGAAGAAATGCTGCCCATTATTAATGAACAGAATTTTTTTTTTCTAGAACATACTTGATGTATGATAGTTGCCATATTCAAGGTTGTAATAAGTTAATGGTTTTCTTAAAAAAGAAGTGAAAGAGAGAAATGTGTTTGTTTTACGAGTTTCCCCATTTCTTCAAAGAAGCACACATGAACATAGGTGAAAAAGAACAGTGCAGACCTGTGTATTATATCAATGGTCAGACACCTATTTCATCTGTCAATCCTTATTACGAACATGACAAACGAGGGGAGCTCAGATATAGGAATGTGTGTATAACAAGAAGGGGGCCTGGAGCAATGGAGAGAGAGAAAAAAATGTGTATCTCGCTGTCATCTGGTACTCAACACCTGTAGGGGCCCCCCTGGTACATGTATGTTCTAGAGTTCTATACCCATGTAATGTGACAAGGCACAGACCATAGGATTTCTTGTATTCGATGTTGGCTAGTGACCCAGAGAATTCAGATGAAGGTGTAAATCAGGGTTTTTTTTTTTCTTCATGTGCATGGACTTCCTAGCCTTGAGAGGTTTGCTGTCATGTCAAATCAGAATGATTGCTAAGCACGCTAAGAGCTCATTTTGATTTTTTTTTTTTTTTTTTTTGAGGGTGTGTGTGTACTTGGGATATAGTGCAACATTTCAGAGGAAGATCGTATAGAAGATTTTTAAAGAGATTCCGATTGTGAAACATCAGTTTCTTTGATATAGGGAGATAATAGTGAAAGGAGTGTTTTATTGAACATCTCAATTAACTGTTTGTTGTAAGATATGAATTTGGGAATCATGCATTTGCTCTGAAAAAAAAAAAAAAAACATTGATTTTATTTTTTCATGGAAATATAATTGAGGAACATTCGAGTGGGGTACTTTTATGTACATGAATTAAGACTAAAGACTTGAGAGTGTTTAAATGTGACAAATTTGGCTCCTTGATTTGATCAGGACAACTTGAAAACATTGGACTTTCAGAGTATTTTCGTGTGACCAGCTTGGCACCTGTTTAGAAGAGAGGAGTAAAACCTATATACACAAAAGGTTAACAAGGGCAATCTAAATACACTGAGCAAGCAGCTTTTAACCTTAGGATCAAACTTTTACTTTTATTCCTAAGGATTAGCCCTCTTTCTTTCAAGGGAGACTTTTAAAAATTTTTCCAGGCTGTAGTTTTTACATGGCAAGAAAGGACTTGTGTGTGTATATATATCTGTTAACGCAGAGTCGTGAATGAAATGTTAAACTGATTTCTTTCCCATTTATCTTTTCTTTTTTATCTTGCATGGTGATTGTTTTTGTTACGCAACCGTTTAAGAAAGTCTGGACCTTAATCTGTGGAGGAATTTACATTGTTTATTTGTTTGTTACCTGTGTGTTTACACCTGGAGGTTTTACCTGGATAAGGTGAAACTATTGTCATCCAGAAGTTATCCTCAGCAGGGAGCAGTCATTATTTCATTTGGAAGGAGAAGTCATTGTATCTGTGTAGATTGCATCACTACTTTACACTGTGCTATAGGAGAAGAAAGAATTACATTATTTAAAAGCCTTTTAACTGAATTTACTTGAAGAGGATTTTAAAGACTAAAGAATTGAAGTTCTACACAATCACTGAAATCTCTTTATGCCATTACGAATTTTGTGACTATCTCTCTTTATTTTTCTCGTTCTCTTAAATGGTATTTATTTAATACCTATATGTGAAATAGGCCTTGTTTTAGTTACAGTATTAGTACAAAGAGATTGACCACAAGACTACGGTGATATCTGATTAAAGGGACGTGTTTGGAGAGACTTTACTTTCAGTTTAAGGGTAAAATAGCATGTCTATGACTGTATTTAATAGATTCCTCATTGATGACACATGAAGATTTGGAAAGCTATTGGTGTGGAAATATCGACGAAGAATTCAATTTTTTTTTTCAATCCCCCACCTGAAAGGAATTTTCATTCTGCAAAGTTTGAAATTTTTTCATGTCTCCAGAAGTATTCTGTGGCCCCCCGAGAAGATAAAGATTTAAAAAAAATTTAATTGATTTTTTTTTATTTCCTTACCTGTGCATTAATTGTAATGATCTTGTAAATACCAGATGAAAGCAAAAAGTGATCTCACTGGCTGTGCATGGTGATAATTCAAAAGGTAAAAAAATATATGTGTGTGTAATATATTGCTCGTGACTAAAGTAACAATTTTCATTTGCACGGTGGAATTTTGTATACACAGATTTTAAATGGACTCTGGCAATGACTGACTGAAATATACAGTTTGCATAGAGAACATTATAAATAGGGAGGAAGACTGTTCATTGTGAAATGAATGTAAACAAAGACCCCAAATAGTAGATACCCACAAGGAACAATACAATTTCTACGTCTCCAAGGAACTTTGTATTCATTATAAGGAAGAGAATTGTGTGAGATTTTTTTTTGGGCATATATACACATAACCTTTATATGTCAAATATGTGAAAAATATACCTACAGAGAAGAAAGACTTATATTCATTGAAAATGCATCGGAATAATCCCTTGCGATGGTCAAAGAGTCTGTCAGACTTGAGAGCAAAGAACATTAATTTTTGGCAGAATGTCTTAGATTCTCAGGTAAGCATTTTGGAACTGTTACATTCTCATAACAGCTCTGCTGCATGTGAGTGTGACTGCCCATCAGAGAGGGTCGGGGGCCACCCGGAAGGGTAGTACACCCTACTGCACACACCGGTTGTGCACTTTTGGCCTCAAGAATCGGTCACTAATTTAAATTAACGTTTTGGTCTGTGGCTATATGAGAAATGTCTCTGACTTTCACTTGAAAATGTGCATGCTTGTAACTGGATTCTAAAAAAAGGAAATACTT